GGCAGGGTTCCCGATTGCACCTTATCTGCGCGTCCCCATGTCCTTTGCCCTTGTTTAGCGCGTGACTCAATGGCAAGTCACAAGTCGAGCCTTGCTGGGAACCGGCACGTCAGGTCTCCCACGCAGGCTTGGGCTGGGTCCTGGCAGAAAAAATCGGGTGCCGAGGGACGGGGAGAGCCGCGCAGGGGACAGGCTTTGGCAATGCATTGCTAAAGATCTGCAGGGAGCCGGCCGGCCCGGGAGGGGTTTCCCAAGCTTGTGGGGCATCGACTGTGGGGTGCTGCTCCCCAGGGGCCCCAGGTTGACCTCTCAAGTGGGTGGGTCACGACAAGTCTTGTCCTGTCATGGGACAAGACCGCAGCCAGGCTTGGGAAGCGTTCCCAAGTCCTGCTGCGGAGGCAGAGGGGAAGGGTGCGTAGCCATGGTTGGGAAGGGGCAGACCATGCAGCCGGTGTTGCAGGACTGCCTTCACCCGGGCGCCCTGCCTGCTCACAGCCTCCCTGCTCCCTCCCAGGTGAGGTCGTGGTGAAGTGGTTCGAAGCCATCCAGACCGGGCTGCCCATGTGCGTCCTGGGAGCAGCGTTCGGCCCCGTCCGTCTCAGCACACGGTAGGTGCCGGCTGACAATGGGGGAGCCACCGCCCTGGGGATGTACCAGGCTGGGTGATGCTCGCCAGGGTCCTCTAGTTTGCCAGGGGGAGTGAGACAGGGATGCCTCATGCGGACTGCCTGCTCTGCCCCCATGGCCCAGGGCAGCGGTGATGGCAGGAGGCATGGCTTTGCCTGGCGCTGAAACAGAAACTGATGCTTCGTCTGCTTCCAGTGCTGGCTCCCCTGTGCCAGGCGGGAGGAGCGACGCCCCGGCCTGGCCACCCTTGGCTGGGCGCATGTTGGGAGCCAGCAGGACCCTCAGCACACTGCCGGCCGTTCCCTGGCCCGGCACATCTGGTTTGGTGGCCCAGCACAGTTTGGGGAGCACAGAACCTGAGGACTGGTCTTGGGTTTGCTGACTGTAGCATTTCCCAGCACATTGTCCTCTTCTGTGCCTCAGTTTCCCTTGTGAGAGAAGCAGGAGGGATGCTAGAAGGGTGGAGGGGTACATGGGACACATGGGTTTGGCATCTATCTGCAACGGGGATTTGGAAGTCAAAAAAACTCCCATGGCAATTAAACCTGTCAACTCCTGTATCGTTTGTTCCAGAAAGCTGCGGGTCCTGGCCACCGAGCTGGTCCCCTGGGCAATCCGGAGCGGGCGCAATGCCAGCTGTATCCTGAACGTTTACTACGAGCAGCGCTGGGAGCAGCCCGTGGAGTCCCTGCGGGAGGAGATTGGCATCTTCCCTCCCCCGGCCGTCCGCGTGTGAGAGCCCAGGCACCGGGAGGGGACAGGGGCTGGCGGTGGCAGACAGCAGCTGTCCCCTGTCACGCTCCATCTCCTCCTGCCCGGGAGCAGCACGGCTCTGTCATTGGCCACCACGGACCCAGGGGCTGAGTTTTCTCCTGCCCAGAGCTGGCACCCTCCTGTTGGTAGAGGTCAGTGGCACCTCCCTGTGCTGTGAAAAATCTTGACCCTTTTTGCCGTTCGTGCCTCTGGAGGGATGCCGAGGCCCGTGTGCCTTTGCCAGCTGAGGCTGGCTGCTCTGGTCTCCCTGGCAGCAGTGCTCCAGTAGCGATGCTCCGAAATGCTGGGATGGGGAGGCGGCAGAGCTGGTTTACGACATGCTGCAGCAAACCGCCGCCTTGGCTCCTGCAGCTCCAGGACTGTGTGGGTGCATCCCTCCTCCCACCCTCTTGGGCAAGATCAAGGCTTAAAGTCTTGGGATGCCCTTGACTGGAGCTAAACTGGTGATTTACGGAGCAGCCTAGGGGCAGTTTTGGTGTGTACAACAGTGAAATCCCACCCTGTACTGGTGCTAACTGGTCTCCTGATGGGAGAATGTGGGATGTGCCTCACACCTTCAAGCTCAGGCAGTGCGTGATTGCATGCCCACGGGAACGTGAGGAAATACCTCTGGATATTATCCCGGCTGGATTGGCTGTTCGAGAGCTGATCCCAGGCTGCCGTGGCTCCTGGGAGTCCCTCGCCATCAAAACTGCTGAAATCTGTGCGAGTGCGCTGGGTGTTCGATAGGAATCGTCCCCTTCTGGGGCAACAAAACCATGCGATGGGGAATAAGGGGCTGAATCCTGGGAGTGCAGAAGCCGCAGCTGCTTGCACGGTGCCCGGGAGCTGATTGCTCTCGGGGTTAATTAAACGGGGCTCCAGACAGCCAGTGGCTGGAGCGCAGAGCTGTTGGACGCGAGGGCAGAGAGCCACGAGGTTGGGGATTCTTTGTGTGTGTGGGTTTGCTGTTGAAATTCCTTCTTGCTTAATAAAATTCTTGGTGGAGCTTGTGGTTCGTTACCCTGCTCCTTCCCCCCCATCTCCCCTTCTGGGGGGAGATCTGATGGGAAACCTCACCCCTTTTCGGCTCCAGCAGGTCAGCTGTTCGTTCTGTGGTGGTTGGTGATGGCAGGGCACACGGGTGGCTGCACATCCCTGGGGACCGGGGCACAAAATGGGTGGTGGAGCCATGTTTTTCCAGCTGGGATTTGGGGGTGCTGGGCTGTTGAGCAGCTCCTTGTGGTGGTTGTTGCACAAAGTCCCAGACAGGCGAAGATCAGGGTGCAGAGCAGGAGGGGGGCAAGGCTGGGGGCTTCTTAAAGTGATGCTGGTTCCCTGGGGAAGGAGGGGATGCTCTGAGTGGGGACCTTTGGTGGTCCTGGGGGGCAGTTGGCATTGTCCTGCTGTGACCTTCACTGGCCCCATCCTCATCTCCCCTGGGATGCTAGAGTGGAGGGGCGGGAGCAGAGGCTGATGGTGTGGCCGGGGCTTGGAGTTGCTCTGTCCCAGGAGACTGAGGAGGGGCAACACTCCTGGGTTTTGGGCTACATTCAGGAGCAGACACCGAGGCAGAGGGACCAGCTTCCTTCCACCTTCCCCTGCAACTTCTCCCTCCCACCAGCCAGACCTCGAGTTTTCCTCCCAAACCAGGCTCATGCCTCCCCTTGGCCTCCAGAGTTATTTCAAGCAGATCATAGAGGATATCGTATAAATGCATCTTCCAGCTGCCGTAAAACACACACAGTGGAGGCTGTCCTATTGCACCAGTTGAGATGAAAGAATTGTTTGGCCCTAAAACGACCCGGAAATGTGCTTTTCTGCATCGGAAATGTGTCGGAGCTTTGGGGCGGTTAAACCGAAAGGATGCGAAAATCGCCGCTTCCAGAAGCTGTGAGCAGCAGCCATGGAGCTGCAGGAAATGATGGTCGGGAGGGAGGGTTTCGCTGCACTTGGATTACTTAACGTGTCTGTGCAGCGCTTGGGCTGTTGTGCCGCCTTTGCGCAGCCGCGTGTCGCTCGGTGGGCTTGTGCCAGCGCTACGGCAATGGCACGTAACGTAATTTTAAACTGCATCTGCTCCAACGGATCGCTTAATGGCCACCGCGGCTCCTGTTCGCCGCAGCCGCTGCTTGTCGAGTCAGCGAGGACGGCAGCAGACAGGGTGGCGGAGGGGGGATGATTTTGGCAGGTCAAACACAAACCGTGCGAAAAGACTTTTCTGGGGACATATTTGCTGGGGACAAATGGCAGCTCTGCCATCACCACCAGCAGTGCTGCGGGGGCTGTTTTGGGGGTGCGATAGCAATGACTATCAAAGGAGGTGACGCTGCTGCTGAACGATGCACAGACACGCTGGGATCGAGGCACGTTTATGAGTAACTCCCGCGTGGGCCGTGTCCTGGAGGTCCTGTCCCCGTGTGGCTCTGTCCCCTCGTCCTGAGTACTGCTC